GCTCATATTGATCTCTGAGTTACCTTGTAGTGGCAATGTAGGAATATCCACTATAGTTATTCTATTTCACGATGAAGGTTTGACTTGCTTGTAGTTAGCCGTGCACAGACACATTTTGTTAGTGTGCGTAGGCCTCGGCAGCGCTACTCCCGAGCGCCCGCAGCCTACGCACACTAACACAATGTGTATGTGCACGGCTAACAACAACCAAAGTCAAACCTTCTTCGTGAAATAGAATAAGTATACCCCATATCGTCCACTGAAGATCATAAGAGGTGACAGAGGGAAACAAACCAGGACATTGGCAGCAGTGTCTTCCTAATAACATACGTAAAAAATAAAAAAACTGCGGATGCCAAACCCGCCTGCCAAGCGTGGCAACTATGGCCTAGGCCTGAGGATATGGGGTAGTGGATTAATTACACCGCCACTACACGGTACGGTTCGCACCCTTACTTGTATGAAAACATAAAAAAAAAACTATAAGCATCGCTAGCACTAGGCGACTATCTCAAAACATTTAAATAGGCGCGAAAATGTTATGTTCCTATAAATACGGCTAAGCAATATTCACTTAGCGTGATGAATGTCCCACAACGACAGATTTACTTGTGGCTTGTCATCGCATTCGCATTTTGTGATGCACAACGCGCGGCTACCGGCTTTGTCCATTATTGAGTTTGCTTTAAAAAGGAAGTCTGCAATGTGTTGTTTTACAACTTAAACATTTTATATTTTACTAAATGCATATGAAAGTATATAGGGTACTAACAACAAAAATACAATTTTTAAAGTTTTTGTCTGTCTGTCTGTTTGTTCCGGCTAATCTCCGAAACGGCTGGACCGATTTTGAAGAGATTTTCACTGGGAGATAGCTGATGTCACAAGGAGTAACTTAGGTTACTTTTATTTTAGAAAAAGAATTAGGGTTCCGCCCAAAAAATATCCCCAAATAACACGCGGGCGAAGTCGCGGGAAACAAACGGCTGGACCGATTTTGACGGGATTTTCACTGGGAGATAGCTGATGTCACAAGGAGTAACTTAGGTTACTTTTATTTTAGAGAAATAATTAGGGTTCTGCCCAAAAAACATCCCCAAATAACACGCGGGCGAAGTCGCGGGGAACAGCTGGTTAGAAATAAATCTATACAATTTTTTACAAGGATGACATACGAGGACACTGTCCACTTGATGACAAGTGGATGTTTAGATTCATAGATATCTATAATTATCCTCGATTAAAATCATAAGTTAGACACGACCCTTTTTACTGGAAAGGAGGTATTCCATCTTAGTTCTCTGGCGTCACAACGCATCTGCATTTTCTTTTTCTTTTCTTCTTTTTTTTTTTTTTTGTTAAAATGTTAGGATTCCCCCACACTAGGATTTCTCCTGTATCGTGGAGTCAGTTTACAAACACAAATTACACAAGGACAAATCCAGACCCGGAACAATTATTTGTAGGCCATACAATTAGTTGTTCCGTGCGGGATTCGAGCCCGCGCCCCCCAGCGCAGCAACTCATTGCTAAGCCACTGCGCCACGGAGCCGTCAATTTTGATTCTTAATGAAGGATAGGTGTAGATGTCCACTTATCATCAGGTGGACTGTGTGGTCGTTTGTCACCGTTATTCTATAAAAAACCCTTCATCCCTGAGGACTAAGATAGAGTCTCTCGTTACCAGTTAAAAGGGGACCCGGTCCTCTACACTAACTACACATAACGCAGGATCCTTAAGCTGCTGTTTTACGTTGGTATCTTGTGCGGGTGCTATCCTTCTACTGTAGACGCGATTATTTCGCGCAACAACCGCGTTTCAGCTGCAACGTGACTCTACCACGTACGATAATATCTACTATCTGGGTACTACTTTATAGATTTAAAATCTACATTGTGCATTTATTAAAATATTTTTATATTCTACTAGCGATGCCAACGATTTCGCTCGCTTATTTTTATTATACAGGGTTATTTTTCACACACACACACACACACACACACTAAAGTTCAAGTATATAAATAATGATATACCGTTATTGCAGTTTTTGAAAATACAAGTAAACAAGGGTTATACTTTTATTTCAAATTATCCTAAATTGATGCGATTTTTTTTTACGTTACCCCCACACTAATATTTTCTCCTGTATCGTGGAGGCAGTTTACAAACATATTATGTAGATTGCACTAGGAAAAACATCCAGGCCTGGAACAATTATTTGTGTTCCCGGATTCGAACCCGCGGCCCACATTGCAACAGTTTATTGCTAAGCCAGTGCGTCACAGTCATCAAATAGGCAATGGGCAACAACGTTTTTGCCTACCGATCGACCCTTGTCATAGATTTTGAAATTAAAAGATAAAAAGGCCAGAATATTTGAGATTTTTTTTAATTAATTTTTCTTCACCATTTGCTTATATTTCATATTCTGAACCTTCTCTGTAAATTGGCCGGTTATTGCAAAATAACCCAGCCTGTAGTAAATATTTAATCAATACAGTTTACAATAGAAAGAATTACGATCACCGATTTGTATGGAACACTCCCCCCACCATTTGGGCCTAATAGCCTACATCGTCAGCCTGTTGAGTCCAAAAATATAAAACAAACAGAGACTGAGCCTTTAGGAAAACAGGAAGTGGCCCCTTATAATATGTTACCTCACAACACCAAAGTAAAGTATGCTGCTGTGTTTCGTATGGTAAGTGCAGACAACCAGAGGCCCTTTTTACTGGAAACGAGGCATGCCATCTAGATCCTCAGGGGTAACAATCTGCATTATGATTCTTAATGGAGGATAGACGTATGGGCTACAGCATCCACTTACCATTTGGAGGATTGTGTGCTCGTTTGTCACTTATTCTATAAACAAAAATATAAAACTGGAAATATTTGTACACTAAATGGTTTGCCAGTTTATTAACCATACAGACAGACGTGGTGAGTTCGTTAATAGGCAATCGTGCGCGGTTTAATTTTATAACATCGTGTGTTTTAGTGCGCTCATGACAGATTCTGTCTCTGCCCGTCGTGATTTACGCGCCTATTTTTTTACTGACGCACTGTTCTCCGATACGCGTCTCCTTCGATGAATGCCTGGTTTCTATATTAGAAAAACGTTTCGTTTTTCCTTATTACCCGTTCGACAGTGATAATAGCGCACGAAAAACCCATTTATAAACCTAAAATACTGATTTAACGACTCACGAACGGCTTAAAGTTGTTAAGTTTTAATTCGACTTTAAATTCCGTACGAGATGAATTTAAATAAAAACACTGTTTTTACATGCATTGCTTATAAAATAAAACGATCGTAACGAAGAACAGAACATTGAATATAGGAATGGGGTATTAGTCTCAAAATCACAAATAACAGACCAATGGTACCCATTATTGTGAAGATGTGATAGAAAAATGAAACATGGTCAAAAGAGCGCCAAGTTGCTTAATTTTCTACCGACTTCAAAAAGGGGGAGGTACTCTGTATGTCTGTTACCTCGTAACTTTTTTCTAGGTGAACCGATTTACGATTACTTATATGTATTATATTTTTTACTTGAAAGCTGGTACTTCTCATGTAATCCCATATAAATTTGATGAAGGTATGACCAAAAGTTTTTGAGTTATAACTAATAACTTATATTGAAGTCGGTTGTATAAAACTTTCAATTTTTAATTATTTACTTTTCATTTAGAAGTTTTTTTTTTATAGGATATGGTGACAAACGAGCACACAGTCCACCTGATGGTAAGTGGTTGCTGTGACCCATAGACATCTACATTTTTCCACAATAAAGAATCAAAATGCAGATTCGTAGTCACCGGTAAGGACTAAGATGGAATTCCTTCTTTCCAGTAAAAAAGGGTCTCCGGTTCTCTACACTCACTACACGAAACACAGCAGCGTTAAGCTGCTATTTTGCGCTGGTGTTCTGTGAGAGCGTGGTCCTTCCCCGGTCGAACCGACTCATTCGTGCTACAACTATACTAATAATATGGCTGCAGCATGGCTCTACCACGTATAAAGCCTCCGCTTATTGAATGTATCTATATTTCTTTGGCACGCTTTAGTATACGGCTTGATATATTTTAGCATAGAAACTGTTGTTAGATTCATCCTAATTACATAAGTGACAAAGGTTATAATATTAGAATTTTTCTTACATTATATATATTCCGTGATCCGTACCCTGGGTGAACCGATTTCGATGATTCTTTTTTTATTTGAAAGCTGGTGCTTCACACGTGGTCGCATATAAATTTGATCAAGGTCTGTCCAATAGTTTTTGAGTTATTTCTTAATAATTTATATTGAAGTCGGTTGTACAAACTTTTTAATTTTAAATTATTTGATATCAGTTTTAGCCATTTGACCTATTGTTCCTAACGAGACATTCCATCTTAATCTTCGGGCGTGACAACTCATTTTCTTCATTGACTTCATTTTGATTCTCAATCTAGGATAAGTGGCTCTAACTCACGGCATCCACTTATGTAAGGTGGAATAAGTACTCATTAGTCGCCTTTACTATATCTTTTTAAATAGTCTATCTTTCTAAACATAAGTTATTCATAAGTATACATTGGATTATATGCACTAACAAAGTGCCAAAATATGCATGCAAATATCTATTAAAAAAAGGTCAAAATATACACTTAAAACTGTTGATATGCCCAAAATATGCACAATGCAAAATCAAAAAGAGTTTTTATTTTTATATATTTTAATTAAATACGGTACAAAACAGCGAATTATTCTTAAAATTATGCATAGTTTTTATGACAATATACAATTAAGTATTTTTTCAAATTTTCGAACGCAACGTTTGTCACCCAGTATCAATGTGTATTGTGTACACCGAAAACGACCTCTCTACATGAACTGACGTCATCGTACAAAATTTAAAATTTGGCCAGTCAGTTCAGTCAGCCACTGCACTGCGCTCGCGTCCTACACGTCTTTGTCACGTAACTCCTGCTACTAAACGAAATTGCACGATTGGAAAAACAGTCTAAAATATGCATTAACGCCGTAACTAGAGAGTTACATTCATTTGCTATGCAAAAATACAAATGCATAAAATCAGATGTCTAGTCATAAGTCATACATGCAACTTAAAACTTAAAAAAAAACTGTGGATGTCAAACCGCCTGCCAAGCGTGGCAACTATGGCAAAATTTCCTTATGAAGATATATCTATGGGAGGGGCCTTCTGCAGGGATCTTCAGCAGTAGGCTTTTATAGTCTGTAATGGAATATTTTAAAGCTTAGTCATACAAGTGATCCCATGACCTTAAATGTTGTGGTTCACACTCTTAACCATAATTATGGCTGTCATTCTTATTTCCATATCTCGCAGGAGAGCTTCGATGAATTGCGTAGTGGGTACTTTCAAAAATATTAAAGACCACAAAACCGCAGCGAAACTGGATATTTCCTCGACGTACAACAATTTATGAAACAACAGGATTAATAAAAGTTCCACTTAATGAGGGCTAATAATTTTCTGTTCACTAAATGTGGCTAGTTGTCACTGAGGTAAAGTTTTTTGTTATACAATGTCATTTAATTGGGAAGTTGGTTTTACATAAAAGTTTACCAGTATCAGTCTAGAGTATTATATTAATACACGAAACAATGCCTCAGTGGTTTGCTCTTTTATTTATTGCACATTTTTAACTTTTTTTTTTAATTTTCTGCTTTTATAAATATCAGTGGTTTGGTTTATTTATTTTTAATCTTATTAATATAAAATATAGCTAATAGTACAGTAAGAGACAATAACCTTTACATTTTCCGAACAAATTAACTTCCCCGCTTATGAAATCTGCACTTTCTAGTGGCGTCGCCCTGGTGGCAGAAAAATCAAAAATTAATACCAAAAGTAGTATCAAAAAGTTTAACGTAGATGTATTGTATTATAAACATAACCATGAGGCTAACTTATCTAGCGATCCGTTACAGCCTTGCAAAGGTCTAAACGCAAGTGTGAGTAACGATTCAAGATCCAGCCTTTTGCTGCTGAACAAAGAAACTCCTCCATAGATTGCTTCAGTATAGATGTTTGCCAGAAAGAGCTATTGAAGAGCGAGACAAGATGGCAGTGTTTCATTCGCGAGCCTTGGAGAGCACGGAAATGCGTTGGTCCTGCGCGTGATGATTTTCCGATCTCGTCGGATTGCAGTCCCATCGGACTATAAGAGAGAGGGAGCAGAGAGTGCACCTGTGCTTGCGAACATTATCGTGCATCATAATGCTATTCTGCGCTGATGTCTAATCTCGGTTAAGAGTGGCCACCATGACCGGAATTCGGTTTAGAGGACATTATTATTAAGTATATTAGTACAAACCTTAACTTCAGCTCTTGGTACTGTACGGCATAGTGGTATATACAAACTGATATATTAACTCATGAACTCAATGTTCGCTAATCAGTGTGACCATTAATAACAAAATGGAGTATAAATCAATACCCCTATCGTAATTTGACGATAGAAACGAGGCCTGCCTCACATGTGTCTAAAATGAGCGCGCGTGCTCTATCTACTTAAACACAGTGCCAAAAGATGTCGCGCCTCGTCCGATATGTTTCTGTTATGGTGATTTATAAAGTGCATTCTTGTGTACAGGCTGTTAGGAAATTCCATCGCCTTTAGAGTATTAAAAAAAAACATAATATTTCTATCGAGTAGTTTTCTTATGCCGAGTAATTGCAAAATTACATACTTACAACTAATAGTTTATTGTAATTTTTTCCACAATTTCATTGGATCTGATTTATTAGAGGCCACTAAAAATTTACTTAAAATTAACATCAACAAAAACTTAAAATCAACAAAATATACGTTTAAAAACGCTATTGACATGACAAAAAAATATGATCATTTAGTTTAATGTAAACGAGATATCCGTAGAAATCCTCGTAAATCCATAATAGTGTATGTATAAAGTTATCCGTAATGTTTCATTATATGTTTTAGAGTATTTTGCATTTTGGTTGGTCATAAGTACTCGTCTCTAATTTTATAGTAGACTCCCCGAGCTCGAATCCTAGATAAACCAAATGTAACTTGCATTATTAGTGCTGATTTACCATATATTCGACGGAGAAGGAATTGTAAGAAAGCTTGTATAGCTAAAAAATATTTAACAATAACATGTGAAATTTGCCAACACACATTTGGGCAGCGCGGTATATTCTACTTGAAAACCATGCCAGATATGAGAGTCGTGTGCCTAGCTGTGGGACATAATATAGTCTATTACTTTATTTATTTTTAATACAATACACTAGAAGCGAGTAACTCAAAACTCTCTCTCTTACATAATTCTATAAAAAAAATATTAATTGTTAATAGACTAGACATAGAGTTTTATATAAAGCCTTTTTAAGACTCATATTTAAAAAAAAATATAAATATTTCAATGAAATGATAAAAAAGTAGTACAGATATACCAGGGTGACATAACAGCGTGGCAGCATCCTGTGCGCGCGACGCCATAAGTCAAAAGCTATGACAAGTAAAATTGGAGCCCAATTAGTGGCCCAGCCGACGATATATCACGACCGCTAACAGTAAGAGACAATAACCTTTACATTTTCCGAACAAATTAACTTCCCCGCTTATGAAATCTGCACTTTCTAGTGGCGTCGCCCTGGTGGCAGAAAAATCAAAAATTAATACCAAAAGTAGTATCAAAAAGTTTAACGTAGATGTATTGTATTATAAACATAACCATGAGGCTAACTTATCTAGCGATCCGTTACAGCCTTGCAAAGGTCTAAACGCAAGTGTGAGTAACGATTCAAGATCCAGCCTTTTGCTGCTGAACAAAGAAACTCCTCCATAGATTGCTTCAGTATAGATGTTTGCCAGAAAGAGCTATTGAAGAGCGAGACAAGATGGCAGTGTTTCATTCGCGAGCCTTGGAGAGCACGGAAATGCGTTGGTCCTGCGCGTGATGATTTTCCGATCTCGTCGGATTGCAGTCCCATCGGACTATAAGAGAGAGGGAGCAGAGAGTGCACCTGTGCTTGCGAACATTATCGTGCATCATAATGCTATTCTGCGCTGATGTCTAATCTCGGTTAAGAGTGGCCACCATGACCGGAATTCGGTTTAGAGGACATTATTATTAAGTATATTAGTACAAACCTTAACTTCAGCTCTTGGTACTGTACGGCATAGTGGTATATACAAACTGATATATTAACTCATGAACTCAATGTTCGCTAATCAGTGTGACCATTAATAACAAAATGGAGTATAAATCAATACCCCTATCGTAATTTGACGATAGAAACGAGGCCTGCCTCACATGTGTCTAAAATGAGCGCGCGTGCTCTATCTACTTAAACACAGTGCCAAAAGATGTCGCGCCTCGTCCGATATGTTTCTGTTATGGTGATTTATAAAGTGCATTCTTGTGTACAGGCTGTTAGGAAATTCCATCGCCTTTAGAGTATTAAAAAAAAACATAATATTTCTATCGAGTAGTTTTCTTATGCCGAGTAATTGCAAAATTACATACTTACAACTAATAGTTTATTGTAATTTTTTCCACAATTTCATTGGATCTGATTTATTAGAGGCCACTAAAAATTTACTTAAAATTAACATCAACAAAAACTTAAAATCAACAAAATATACGTTTAAAAACGCTATTGACATGACAAAAAAATATGATCATTTAGTTTAATGTAAACGAGATATCCGTAGAAATCCTCGTAAATCCATAATAGTGTATGTATAAAGTTATCCGTAATGTTTCATTATATGTTTTAGAGTATTTTGCATTTTGGTTGGTCATAAGTACTCGTCTCTAATTTTATAGTAGACTCCCCGAGCTCGAATCCTAGATAAACCAAATGTAACTTGCATTATTAGTGCTGATTTACCATATATTCGACGGAGAAGGAATTGTAAGAAAGCTTGTATAGCTAAAAAATATTTAACAATAACATGTGAAATTTGCCAACACACATTTGGGCAGCGCGGTATATTCTACTTGAAAACCATGCCAGATATGAGAGTCGTGTGCCTAGCTGTGGGACATAATATAGTCTATTACTTTATTTATTTTTAATACAATACACTAGAAGCGAGTAACTCAAAACTCTCTCTCTTACATAATTCTATAAAAAAAATATTAATTGTTAATAGACTAGACATAGAGTTTTATATAAAGCCTTTTTAAGACTCATATTTAAAAAAAAATATAAATATTTCAATGAAATGATAAAAAAGTAGTACAGATATACCAGGGTGACATAACAGCGTGGCAGCATCCTGTGCGCGCGACGCCATAAGTCAAAAGCTATGACAAGTAAAATTGGAGCCCAATTAGTGGCCCAGCCGACGATATATCACGACCGCTAACTGCTGGGCAAGAGAACGTCCGCTTCAAATGTACCGTGTAAGTTTTTAAGTGTATAAATAGATGTTTATTTTTGCCAATTAACCGCAAAGGGAGGGAACACATTATTTGACGTTTTTTTTTGTACGGCAACACTGTGTAATGGGCTTTAGAAACATTTAAACGGTGTTTAAATGCACTCATAAAACTATATTTAAATATTTTTAGCCGAATTAAAAAAAGAAGGTTATATGTTACGCGAAATCAATTGTGAACCTATTTTGATGATTCTTCTGTTATTCTTTATTATAATTTATTATTTATTACTAGATGTTCCCCGCGATTTTTCCCGCGTAGATTTTTTTGCGCGGAACCCTAAAATAAGAGTAGTTAGGTTACTCCTTATAACATCAGCTATCAGCCAGTGAAAGTTCCATCCAAATCAGTTCACAGGTTTTTGCGTGATGAGTGTTCATGCCAAAATAGCTCGCAGATGACAGATTTTTTTGCAGACTTATCTTACTTGACTTATTTTCAGTGTTATCCTGATGTATGAGCTATATTATTGTAAGGTTTCATTAAAATCCATTTAGTAGTTTTTGTGTTAAAGAATAACAAACATCCATACATCCTCACAAACTTTCACATTTATTTACAACGACTGGCCTGTTGGTCTAGTGGTTAGTGACCCTGACTGCTACGCCGGAGGTCGTGGGTTCGATTCCCACCCA